CTCAGGCATCTGTTTCGGATGCCTCCTGGGCACCTTCCTAGGGAGGTGTTCTGGGCATGTCCCACTGGGAGGAGGCCCCGGGGAAGACCCAGGACACGCTGGAGGGACTATGTCTCTTGGCTGGCCTGGGAACGCCTCAGCATTCCCCCGGAGGAGCTGGAGGAAGTGTCTGGAGAAAGGGAAGTCTGGGCATCTTTGCTTAGACTGCTGCCCCCGCGACCTGGTCCCGGATAAGCGGAGGAAAATGGATGGATGGATGGATGAAAATAGTTTTGATTTTAATCAGTTTATATTTGACATTTGTTTTTGGTTGCAAAAAAATTTATTTTGATTGCAGTACCAAAGTTTTGCTCTCAAATATGTTTTCTTTGAGGAAAGAAACAAAATAGCTTCCATAGCATTTCAAAGGGTACTGCTATTACTTCACTGTCAGAAAAAATTCGAATGCATTCATAAAAATGTTTAATTAACAAGCTTAAATTTCTTGCTGAGAGTCAGATGAAAAGATCGAGGCCATTCTCATACAGCTAGTCTTCGTTGCTTAGCAGTGGCAAAGCAAGTTTGCCAATGCCTCCAAAATATTATCTACATGATAATAGACAAAGCAAAACTAGTGAGCTTAGGACATACTGGTAGACAAAACCTGGCTAGCTGTTTCCCTTTGCTTCCAGCTTATATGCTTATGTAACCTAACTAGCTGTCTGGACTGTACAGACATGAGAGTGGTCTCAAGCTTCTCATATGATTTTTGGCAAGGAAGCAATTAAATGTATTTCCCAAAACGCTGACCCTGAAGTCTGTTTTGCCTATTATCAAATAAGAGAGGGAATAAAAAAGAGAAATAACATGCAGAGAAAGGCTATCAAATATACACAGCTGCCATTTATGTGCATTTTAGAAATTTGCTGTTTGATTTGTTTTGTTCATCCTAGAAATCCAGTATAAAAAGTCTGAGATGGTTAATGGGATGTTATAATGTCAAGTCTGTACACTTAACCAGTCAACCCTGGCTGCACACAGTAGTGGAAAACAAGCCAGAGTATATGTTGAAATTTAATTTGACAACTGTTGTTGCAGTTATTTTCAAGTTGCTCAGGTGGATTGGAGCCGAAGCAGTCCAGACAAAGACTGTTTGTAACTTGATCTGAGTCAGCAGATTTTACACAGAGCAAATCTGCAATAGCAGCTGCATCTGTTGTTTGTCTCAGATCAAACTATACGTCAGTGTAGGCAGGAGTGAGTGTGCGGGTGTCATTGTGATTGACGGCCCTTGTTAAGGGCAAGATTTCTGAGAAGAGAACAGCAGCTTAGTCTTGTCAAGGTCAGGCGGCAGGTGTTTGGCAGGAATTGAAGATTTCAGCTGGACAATTGAAGATATGCAACTTAACCTGTGTGTCAGAGCTGGGAATCAAAAGGTCAGCTACGTGTTGTAGCAATGATAGAAAGAATTATGGGATGTGGTGACACATTCAAGATTTTTAGTGTAAAAAAAGAAGAAGGCTTGGCCCCGTGGACCTCCTTGGAAAGGAGGATGCAGACTCATGGTATTACAACTGTAATACAATGTTTTCTGAAAGCAGTGACCACTGTCTGGACAGGCGCCATCTTGCTTTCTGTCACTTCTCTGATTGCTGTATTGATGTTAGGAGACAGAAACTGAATCTGTCTTCAGGTTTTCCCAAAACAATTACTTCTAATTTAAAGGAAATAACCTGCTCTTTATGAAAGCTCGCTGCACAGTCACTGCTTCTGTGGTGATAGATATGCCACTGTGTTTACTCAGTGGAAATAAGATTATAGCCATGACAGATGCTGTGTTAATAAAATGGTTACATTCTTCATTTGTGTTTGTTTCTAGCTTTCACAGATGTGTAAAGGTACTCGTTTCTCTGGTATTTAAGTTGAACACGAGTACTATACAACCCGGGTTATCTTGTCCCTTTCAGTTTGATTTGACTCCTGGCATGGAAGATTGTTTAGTCATCACCCAAATCTGAATGAAATCATAGGCGATGTGCTCTGTGCCCAAAGAAGATATGTAGCAACTGCTGGATTTGTTTCAGTTCCAGTTCAATGGCAAGATAATATTGCTAACTCCAAATACCGATTTTCATTCACACCTTACATCTGTGTTAAGTATTTATCGACAGGTTTACAAAGTGTGAGACGTGCTTCCCTGCAGGGTGCCGGGGAGTAGCAGAGGGGGCACACAGGGAGAGAGACGTGCAAAAAACATACTGCATGAGGTGAAAGGGAGAGGTGCATGTTGGTGTTCTGAATGCACCAAGGTAGTTGCTATAGTTTGGCCCGCTTATTAGCTTATCAGCACAGTCAGCAGTTGGAGCAGCAGCAGCAGCAGCTGTGACATGGCTCATAGAGGCAGTTAAGGTGCTTTAAATCCACGATGTCAGGATTGGCGTGTGAAGCTGACGATAATGTCAAGGGGTGAGCTCAATTATAAGGCCAGACGAGTAAAAGCAAAAACTGTCTCTTTAATAAGAGCACTGGTAACAAACGAAATGATACAGAAAACTGATTAAACAAGAAACACACTCTCAGGTCAGTAATACAGTCCAGGGTCAGAGCCAGCAAATGTACACATTCAAGGTATCCACAAAAGCACGGTCAAAAGGGAAGTCCAGAAGTCAAAACACAGAAAACACGATCAGAATCAGAGGGGTTAGACAGTACTCAGTGGTCACAAGGTAGTCCATGGTCAGAGCTGGAAAACCAGGTGCAAGAAAAACACTGGAAAGTCTGAATAGTTAGAAAGATCTAGCAGCTTCTTGGTGTGGGGAAGCTGCCTACGTATATGCTGTTGTAACCAGGTGTGAGTAATGAGAAGCAGGTGAAACCAATGTGGGTGATGAGATAAAGTTCCTGGTAGTCAGGGTGAGCTGGGGACAGGAATAAGTGTCAAAATAAAAGCATGAGTCAGAATCATGACACACGATTGCTGCGGTTAGCATAAAACTCAGTCTCCTTCTCTAAGTCATAACTCAGTCAAATGAGAAGGCACAGACATGATACACATATGCTTAGATTCACCATGATGTATACTTCCCAATAATGATTATTAGCTTCAGTGTTCATCCTAAGTAAACATCCATAAAGCGCTAATAGCTATTTTGGATATTTTTATGGCCAATTTGGCAGGGGCATAGTGGAAGGGAATCTTGTTTTTGTTTGAGGGTGCCCGCAGTGTCAGACCTTGAAAGGCTTTGAGATAGATGAATACTTTTGGCATACATGTTCTTAATGCTTGTTAATTTTATAACTATAATCTAACCACAAAAATATGCATGATATATTGCTTAAAACTTTCAAGATCAATCTTGTAATTTCTACAATTTATTCAGCAATCAAGGTATGTGCCTTTAGCAAAGGCGGTGGAAAATGTGGCATAAAAAGACAACACTGACTTTTTATATTGGCTATTCTGGATACAGTTTTTGCAGCTCATTCATGATGGAGTGCTCAAGAGTTTAAGCAAAATGCACGTTAAAGGAGCAATACTGCTGTGCAGTTGTAGATGTCTGATCAAATGAGGTTTGGTTTCTTGACAAGAGGAGTACTTTAAACTGACCTGAAGCAAAAGGGCGTGCTGTCTCGTGTCACAAAACGGTTAGCTTTGAGAAAAAGACCTGACCAGCATTGAATGAAGAAAAGAAAGTGGTTACTGGCATGTGAAGGGCACTGCTGGTGGAGCTGCAGAGAATCATCTGGAATCACAAGAGAGATGCAGTAGCTGATGGTTGGGACCTTCACAGGTTATTATCCATTTTCTTTATCAAGTATGTGACAAAATCGCAAAATAAAACAGCATAAAATCAAGAGAAAAGTAATGAGTCTCTAAGGTTTGTTGACTTCATGTTTTAATTATTGGTAGTAGACCCATTTTAGCAGGAAGTTCAGTCAGTTTTCTTATTAGTGTTTTTTGATTAAATGAAGTCACAGTCAGTGCAAATAAACATCTCATTTATTTGGAATAAATATAGTTAAAGTTTGGTAAATGAAGAATAAATTGCACAATCCTTTAACCAGAGTAGGATGAGACCAATAGAAAAAATAGAAATTAAACTACTGTACAACATACAGTCACAACACATAGCGTCATGCAGAAAGCTCTGTAATTACAAATTCATCAGAAATTGTAATATTTCTGCACTTGATTGACAGCTGTGATTTTTCTGTCACTCTGCTTCTCAACAGAGAAGAAATCTGAAGCCAGAGGAGACAGGTTATCTACATTAAAGCTGAACATAAAAACACACAAAACAGAGTTGTTCCTGAACACACCGAGAACACAGCTCTACGCACCACCTCCAGCATCAGCTTCCCAGAGGTTATGGACTACATGTCGACAAGAGCTGGAGGAAACACAGTCTGCAGACTCTGAAGCCATTGTGTTGGAGGGAACAGTGCAAATGGTGGTGCAGCACCTCCTTCCCTTTCAGCCCCACTTCAAAAAGTAAGTTGTTTGTATTTTTGCTTTATGTTTTGCCATGTGATTAAATCACAGTATAGTCAAAGTGTTTTATTTTGTATCTGAATTTGTCACAACTGTATCCTAATGCTATTTAACCCTATAGCCCCATCTGGTAACATTACATTTGAAACCAAACATCACTTTCTCTGAAAAACAAACAACCTGGAGACCTTTGAAAAACAAACATTTGATCAGTGGTGGAAGAAGTACTCTTATCCCTTACTTAGGTAATAGTAGCAATACCAAAGTGTAAAAATGTTACAAGTAATAGTCCTGCATTAAAATGTTACTTCATCATATTTAATTTTGCAGATAGTAAAGGAGGAGCTAGTTTTGATCAGCTTATTTGCTTATAATTTGAAGTTCTGCTGGGTTTCTTTTGACTTTTCCAACAAAGATCAATAAAATCATGATTAAACTGTTATTTTTGTATTTGTCTGGTTCTGAAAATTGCATTTGCTGTAAAATGTAGTGAAGATGAAGTATGAACTATCACAAAATGATAATACTCAAGTAAAAGACAGTACTTGTAAATGTATTTAGTTACTTTCCACCACTGCATTTGATTAACAATCACCAGTGTCACAGACTCTTATGTCCAACTGGAAGAAAAAAAAAATTCTTTCCAATATACAATAAAAACTATTCTTAGTATATTTCCCAAATTGTGCTTTTTTACACAAAACAAACAAAGACAGTAGAGGCTGGAAAGACCTCTCTTTGCTCTGTTTGTACAACACAGAGTGCTTTTAAGATTCTGGGAGTTGTGTTGTCTTAGAACCTTCTGGGTTTATCACAAATCACAGAATAACAACTTTTCAGAAGAAACTTAGTGCTGTGTTTTAAATGTGATGGTCATGAATGAGCAGCGTGGCTCTGATGTGCATCCAGCTCACTTATAAACCTTTGTACTAATATCAACATTTCAGTAGCCTCTACAGACTCACTTTATTGAAATGCACAAAATGCAGTGTAATTATTCTTTGGAAATGTGAGAACTATCTATGAGCATGTAGTTGTCTGTCAAAATTCACTGTGGTTCACTTAAAAGTGAAAATCATAAGACCTTATAACTAAAAGCTTAAATGAATGTGAAGCTTGGGTGATGACTAAACCCCCCCGGTACAAAACACGACGGCAAAGTCAAGACAATATAAAACAAGTGGGAGCACCTCAAGTGTACAAATGTGTGTACAAGCGTCTTTCTCAAATGACGTCACTAATTAAATAAAAGATAAATGAAGCAGTTAAACAGACTAACAGTTATTATTGGCTAGACAGTGAGCGATAAAGCTCAATTATCAGAACCTCATATTGGGCAGGAGGCTACAGAAAAAAAAAAAAACGGCAAACAGTTCCTCTAAAAGCAAATACCCATTAATGAAATATTCTAACTCACTGCTGTCGGTCAATGCTTTGATGTGTCTCTTAATACCATAGACACCTCCATTTGTTTTTCAGTTCCAAAGTAAATGTTGGCTCACAAGGACAGGATTTTACTGTCTTTCTTCCATGTTGCTGGTTTCCAAGTATAAGCCATGATTCAGTTTGAAAGATTCAATATGAGAAACCATCAGGTCTATATCTGTCTTCTGAATCAGAAAGAATACAGTATGTTTCTGCATTTTGAACCCAGTCTGACCAGATTTCAGGCGTCAAAATGAGGTTATGTGTAGCTATAAGAGAGTGGAGCGTTTTGAACAAAGCTGTGAGGGATCCTGGGATTAAAAGCAACTTTTTCTTAAGATCCAAACACTCCTACATCTTATATGTTGGAGTGTTTCCTGCTGTTTCCTGCATCTGCAGTAACTGTACTCATTTCCTGTTTTCGGCGCCTGCACCGTGTTTGTGCTTGCTCCCAGATTGTTTAGGAATTAAACTTACTGTTTCAAAGTTCATCTGAATTTTTGAGTAACAACATACGCTTGCACCACTTAAGCACTTGTGTTGCAGAAGTTCTTGCTAATTACCAGATTTAATTTGTTACCTTTGGTCGGCTAGCTTAGAAGCCAGCTAAGTTTGTAGCTTAATTGAGAGCAATGGCTTCCCCCCGTTCCTCTTCTCCTTTCTCTTGCTCGAAGTGTTGCATGTTCAGTTATTCCTCTGCCTGCTTTAGCGATAATGGTACTTGTAATAAATATCAGATGCTAGCAGCACTGGAGGCTAGGCTCACAGACTTAGAAGCGCGGCTCCACACCATGGAGAATAGGCCAGCTAGCTATGCCCAT